CTTCTTGAAATCGCAGTGATCCTCATTCTCAACTTCGGCAACACCCCAAGCGTATTGGCGACCCTTCACAACCCGGTTGTCGCTGGTCTTGACGTCCTTCTCCGATCCGATAACTGCGAAGGGCATGGCGGCCATGAGGCTGCGCGCATGGGTAGCGGCGTGCTCGTCGTCTTCCTCGATTGGGGGAGTGTAAATCTTGATGCCCTGGGCCTCGATGACGGCACGGATCTATGAAAGTCACAAACGTCAATGCTTGTACTTAGTGGACTTCATGCGGATTGCTCACTCTCTGCTTATAACGGGCCAAGTCGGTAGGGCTCAGGGTATCGGCCTTGGCGATGACGGGGATGAGGTTGACACGGGAGCTGAGGCGCTTCATGACCTCAATGTCCAAAGGCTTCAGGGTGTGTCCAGTAGGGCGGATGAAGTACAAGCAAGCGTGCACACGCATATCGATCTTATCGGAGCGGCGGGGCTGCTGCTCTTGCAGCATGTAGGATTCATGCTGGTCGTCGAGGAATTCAATGATTGGTTGCCAGGAGTCGCGGTTGTTGACATAGTCTCCAAAGCCGGGGGTATCGATAACAGTCAGGCGAACTACAGCGACAACCGGAGCATTAGCCATTGTTCGGAGTGCCAGGAATATTCGCTAATAACCTTTAAAGAACTTCTCCTCAAGCTCCGCCTTGGTGATCTCAATCTCAACAGTTCGGTCGACCTGCTTCTGATGACGGCGCTTGTGATCGGCGTAGTTCTTGATAGTTGTGGAGAACAAAGTGTTGATAAAGGTGGTCTTTCCCAAGCCAGATTCTCCAGCAACCTATATTCATCTAATGAGCTTGGTCCTGCTATGGGATTTTGGGTTCATGGTTAACCAACCATAATCGTGAAAGCAGCACCACGCTTAGCAACGATCTTGTGTCTGGACATCTTCGTTAGTACCGGTCGTGGCTGGCATTGTTTCGCATGGCATACCGCTGGTTGGGAAGCTATTCATATCGAATTGTCAGTTTCATGTTCTTTTCAGATCAAGAGACAATGTTTGCTTATCGTAATACATACGTTGGCAATGCCAATGGGGGAGGCGGTTTCGGTAGAAGACATGATGGTAAGGGGTTGAGCTGGAACTTATTGAAGAAGCGGTACGAGACGAAGTAAATAGAGGATGGCGGGAGAAGGACAGCGCTGGCCTAGGACGAATGGGGCGATGGGGCCAACGGGGTAGAAGAGAGAGAAGAATTAAACGAGAGGACAGACGACGAGAAGCGGAGTAGAAATAGGATGAGACAATGACCGTCGGGGGGGGGGGAATGAGTTAGAGGAAGAAAGAGAGAGCGAGGGAGACTTTGGGGATGGAATGGGATGATAGATCGGGAAGTCGTGCCTTCTTCGACTGGTTGCTGCCCCTGAATCCGCCCCCCGAGCAAACAGAATGCAAACAAGCGAGCGTGACTGCAGTGATTGAGGGGGAAGAAGGGGAAAGGTGCAAGCCTCAGGCTGCAAAATACCTCATTGGGACTAGCCGGTCAGACTAAGGCCCCGGATGGCGCTAGCACTATTGAAGACTAATGCGGTCGGGGTCGGAAGAACAGTCGATCCGTTCCTTATCGTCCGTTTTGGGCAGGCCGATTTTTTTGAAGATCGACCGATGAATTAAAGACTAGAGGAAGGCTTGCTGCGGTGCGAACGGATCCGGTCGGCGACAATGAAGACGGATTTTAAGGTGAGCTCACTGCTCTTTGCGACTCTTATTCCTCCGAAGACAAAAAGCAGCAAAGAAAGCAGGAGCATTGAAACTGACAGCTATATCTAGTTTTCCAACCTACTGGGGACGGTTTATCGCAAAGGTAATCTGCTCTTCACACCCGATGGCAACTCTCTGCTCTCTCCGGTGGGAAACCAGGTCTCGGTCTTCGACTTAGTACAGTATGTGCTTCCGCCCGTTGAGAATGTCGGCATTTTATACTAATACTATCTTCCTTGCGAAGCAACACTTCTTATACACTTCCCTTCGCGCATCGCACCAACATCGATCATCTGGCGCTCTCCCCGAATGGAAAACTCCTCTTGACTATTGACGAGAATGGCCGCGCCATCCTGACCAACTTCTTGCGCCGAATTGTCATCCACCACTTCTCTTTCAAAGGCCGTGTCTCCGCCCTTAAGTTCGCCCCATCCGGTCGCTTTTTCGCTGTGGGTGTAGGAAGACGGCTGCAGTTCTGGAACACCCCGACTACGCCTGGTACCGACAACAATGGAGAGATTGAGTTTGCGCCTTTTGTCCTGCACCGCGATCTCGCCGGGCATTTCGATGTGGTCCAACATCTCGAGTGGTCGAGCGACTCCCGCTTCCTTATCACAGCCTCCAAGGATTTGACCGCGCGGATATGGAGCTTGGATCCGGAAGAGGGCTTTGAGCCCACAACGCTGGCTGGCCATCGTCAGGGAGTGAAAGCCGCCTATTTCTCTGCCGACCAAGAATCGGTAAGTCTGGGAATCATCTTGCCCTTGAATGTGCACTAAGCATGGGTAGATTTACACTATCAGTTCCGACGGTGCTGTCTTCCGATGGGAATATGTTACAAAGAAGGATCCGGAGACTATGGAAGATATTGCGGATGCCCGGTGGAGGATTGTCAAGAAGGATTTCTTCATGCAGAATGACGCTAAGGTCAACTGTGCTGCTTTCCATGCGCCCACGAATCTCTTGGTTGTTGGGTTCTCTAACGGGTTGTTCGGGCTTTATGACATGCCGGAGTTCAATCAAATTCACCAATTGAGGTATGCATATGCGCCTAAACTCTATCGGACAAGACTAACGTCAGTGCAGTGTTTCTCAAAGCAACATCGACTGCGTGACAATCAACAAATCGGGCGAGTGGTTGGCATTTGGCTCCTCCAAGCATGGACAACTGTTGGTGTGGGAATGGCAATCTGAATCGTACATCTTGAAGCAACAAGGCCACCTCGACTCTATGAACACTCTGACATATTCTCCCGACGGTCAAAGAGTTGTGACTGCAGCAGATGACGGAAAGATCAAAGTCTGGGATGTCAAATCTGGTTTCTGCATTGTGACCTTCACGGAACACACAAGCGGAGTTACGGCATGCGAGTTTTCCAAGAAGGGAAATGTTCTGTTTACAGCGTCATTGGACGGCTCTATCAGAGCTTGGGATCTTATCCGCTACCGAAACTTCCGGACATTTACTGCTCCGACTCGGTTGTCTTTCTCCTCACTCGCAGTTGACCCAAGTGGTGAGGTTGTTTGCGCTGGCTCTCCGGACTCATTCGATATTCATGTCTGGTCCGTGCAAACGGGACAACTGCTCGATCAACTTGCCGGCCACGAGGGCCCTGTTTCGGCCCTCTCATTTGCAGCTGACGGTAACCACTTGGTGAGTGGTAGTTGGGATCACACTGTCCGCATCTGGAGCATTTTCGGCCGGACGCAGACGAGTGAGCCCTTGCAACTACAGGCTGATGTGTTGGATGTCGCTTTCAGACCCGATGGCAAGCAGGTTGCTGCGTCCAGTTTGGATGGCCAGTTGACATTCTGGTCTGTCAATGATGCTGTACAGATTGGCGGTGTTGATGGCCGTCGTGATGTCTCAGGAGGACGGAAGACCAGTGACCGACAGACTGCCGCAAACGCCGCAGGAACTAAGTCCTTCCGCTGCATCAAGTACAGCGCGGACGGCAGTTGTATTCTGGCCGCCGGAAACAGCAAGTACATCTGTTTGTATGATGTAGCAACAGGCTCGATGGTGAAGAAATATACTGTGTCGGTCAACACCTCGCTCGAGGGCACTCAGGAAATCCTCAATAGCCGCAATATGACGGAGGCTGGCCCTCGCGAACTTATCGATGAGGCAGGTGAGGCTTCAGATGTTGAGGACCGCATCGATCGCAGCCTCCCCGGTGCGAAGCGTGGTGACCCCGGATCTCGGAAAGTCAGACCGGAGGTCCGAGTCACAGGAGTCGACTTTTCACCGGCTGGCCGTTCATTCTGTGCAGCCTCCACGGAAGGTCTCCTTATCTATAGTTTGGATACCGATGTGGTGTTCGATCCTTATGATCTTGATATCTCGATCACCCCGTCTAGCATTTTGGAGACCCTTCAGGCCGCCAAGCAGGCCGCAGCAACCGGCCAAACGGATGATGACAACACATTCCTTAAGGCGTTCATCATGGCATTCCGTCTGAACGAGAAGAAGCTCATCCGGGCAGTTCATGAGGCCATCCCTCCAGGCGATATCCCCCATGTTGTGCGTGCTGTGCCAACAGTCTATCTCCCTCGCCTCCTTCGCTTTGTCGCCCATGCTGCCGAAGAAACTCCACACTTGGAGTTCAATCTGCTGTGGATTGAGTCTCTTTTCAGTGCCCATGGCCGCTACTTCAAGGAGAATGCGGGCACATTCGCACCAGAGCTTCGTGCTGTGCAACGTGTCATCGATGAGATTCATAACAGCCTGAAGAGACTGACGGACAAGAACATCTATGATCTCAACTTCCTCCTGGCAAAACCTGTGCTTGCAGGCAAGAAGCAACCCAGTCTTGTTCTCGCTGCCCTTAATGGTGATGCTGAGGCTACCAATGGCGAGGACGAGGCCATGGAAGAAGCAGCGGAGGAGGCTGATGGGGAATGGATGGGCCTTGAATGATTGCATGTCACTGTTTTTGTACCTTGATACTCCTGTCGTTCTTGTTCCCCTCCGGTCATCTGTTTGGCTTCGCATGTGCTCCTGGCGTTGAATCTGTGGTATACTTGGGAAGAGAAAGGGGGCAGCAAAAAGTTCAGGAGTCTTGATGCTGTGTTTATAGGATATGTAGTACATATACACCGAATAATAAACTTTCAAAATTATTTTGGGGCGTTTGCAGTGAAATTATCCGGCGTGCTTCAGATGAGCATTTAGTTGCTCTTTGCATTTCTTTCTTCCTCCACCTTTTCACTTCCTGGTATTCTTCCATCCACCAAAGGCCGTACTTCATCCACCATGTCTTTTCTGGGTGACCTTTACATCTATCTCTACCTGGCTGCGTTGAAGACCTTCCCTGTCTTGCCAACCACGCTCATTGTCTGCTTCTTCTTCCATCGGTTTGTCATCGCTCCTTTGTATAATGAACTCGCAAGACTGCCCACGGTCCGATACAGATGGTTCCTCCCCGATGTCCTCAACCGGCTCGCGTTCTACTTTTACGGATGCGATCAAATCGCTCAAGGTTACAGAAAGGTACTCCACGTTGCCGTCATCATAAACTCAACAATCCACACTGACATCTTTTGATTTCCTCAAGTACAAGGATCGTGCATTCCGGCTCCTTACCACGGACGGTGACTTGGTTGTTTTGCCGCTTCAGTATCTATGGGAGATCGAACAGTTGCCCATAACCACGCTGAGCGCTGCCAGAGCACGGCATAAGGTGAGCTGAACCATACGAGAGTTCGTGATGATTTGACTGCTGATCATATCCCTCTGTCTTCAGAATCTCCTCAGCGAGTACACTGACGTAGTCAGAGGGAGTACAAATGTATCTCGTGCAGTCGCCGAGATGAGCCAACAGAATCTTCGTACGTCTACTCGATTTTCTATATCAACACCGGAGGTTGACTGGCAATCTTACTTGCATGACAGAGCACATTACTATGCAATTCAACGATGAGTTTCACAAGGCGCTCTACGTCGAAGTCCCAAGATGTCAGTGTACGTATGCCCGAGCCTCCCATCCAGTGTCACCTTACCTCCATTACAAACACCTCTACCTCACTCCCCTCCATCACAGCCTTAAACTAAACTAACACACCAGCCCAGACAAATGGACGCCCGTCAACCTCTACAAACTAGTCCTCAAGCTCATCAGCCGCACCACCGCCCGCTTCACCGTCGGCGAGGAGCTCTACCTGAACGAGCTCTGGCTCGAAACAGTCCCCAGCTATACCAGCGACATCCTGACAACCATCATACTCCTGCGTCCCGTGCCCCAGGTCCTACGGCCCCTCGTCGCACGCTTTCTCCCCAGCCTACGCCGGGCCCGCGCAAGAGCCCGCTGGGCCCAGACCGAGCTGCTCATGCCCACAATCCAGTCGCGCCAACACAAGGAAGTTCACGACGGCGCATACCAAAAGCCCCAGGACCTCATGCAGAGGATGCTGGACACAGCGACCACCAACTTCGACCGGGAGCCCGCCAACATCGCCAAAGCGCTGATGTCGACCATCACACTCTCAATCGTCCACCCGATCACCAACCTCGTCACGCACGCCGTCTACGACGCTCTCACCCAGGGCCAGGGTCAGGGCCAGGGCCAGACAATCGGTCCGCTGCGGATAGAGACCGAAGAAATCCTATCCCTCATCGAGCACGACGACGAATTCGGTCTGATCACCCGTCCCTACCAAGGCCTCATGGACAGTTTCCTGCGCGAGGTCCTGCGATGGAATCCGCTGAGCGAACGTAAGTCCACACCCCTGCACCAAACCCACACCTCACCCCAATACCCCCCAAACCAACCGACTAACCTCCCATCCCCCTTCAAACACAGTGAACCCCCGCTACACCCTCCTAAAAACCCATACCTTCACTACCTTCACCACCACCACCACCACCAAAACCCAACAATCCTTACCCCTAACCCTCCCCGCCGCCACCCAAATAACCTTCCCAGCGGGCCCGCTCTCCCGAGACGCCACCATAATCCCGCACGCGGAGCGCTTCGACGCCTTCCGCTGGACCCGCGACCCGCTAGAAGTCCTCCCGCTCTTACGACCCGACACGATCGACCCGCGCCTCCGCAAGGCCGTCGCCTTCGACACCGGCTTGGCGGACACCAGCCCGGTCAATTTGCACTTCGGGTGGGGAGGAGGAGGTCGCGGAGCGGTGTGTCCCGGTCGACACCTCGCGGCGCGCCTGGCGGCCGTGGTGCTGGGCCGGCTGCTTGTACAGTACGATCTGCGGCTGTTTCCGGGGGAGAAGAGACGTAGGCCTGGGAATTTGGGGGCGGGGGAGTTGGTTTTTCCTAATCCGGGGGTGAGGGTGTTGGTTAGGGAGAGGGAGAGGGGTGGATGAGGGGGTTGTGTTGTGAGGCGGCGTTTGAGGGGTGCTAGAGACAATCGTGGGTTTTAAGGAGGAGCAGGGAGGGCAATAGGGGGGTTGGGGAGGCGGGAGGCTTGGTGCACATTGTCGTGGTGGTGGTTTGTGATGGAGTGGGTGTGTTGAGGTGAAGGGAGATTGTATCATCGAATCAAGAGGGGTGGGTGGGATGTGGTCAGTGTTGAAATTCGGCTGGGCATGGGCAAGTCGATGTCTACGTTGTTCATGCTTGGAAGCAAGTTGTACTCTACTCGAGAATATTTGCAAGAAGGCGCCACAACAACGCATTTTACTATTTCAGCAAGATTTACACCTAGCAGATAGGACTACGTATTCAAATACAGCACATTCGGGGAATGCGAAGCTATGTATCATTGGGAGACCCAACTGCTGGCCGCGAAACATAGTATCTGTACTAAGAATACATGTCCCAAATATACAAGAGTGGGATATCCCTATCGCTTACAAGACTCCTTTGCCTTCCCCTCAAAAGTTTACAAGCCACCCACCGGATCTAATTCCCCTCAACAACAGTCGGGGCTCCTCGCCCACGACCACGACCCCGGAATCCATTACCACCTCGGTCTCCACCACTACCACCACGGGCACCTCCACGGCCACGGCCACGCTGATTCAGCGTTTGCGGCGGCGGAACCTGGGAGTAGTTCTTGGGCCGGAAGTTCGGGTTGGTCTTCATAACTCCGGCTTCGGGGTCACTGTTGTCGACCGTATGATATCCGCCACGGGTGCGGCCCGCTCCTCCGCGACCGGCACCGCCACGGCCTCCCCCTCGGCCCCGACCACCGCGAAGTGCGCCATCGGCGGTCTGATTGCCGTTGGGCTGAGGGCGGAAAGGCAGGGTCGTCTGAGCGCCCACGCCGTTGGATGCGCCCCGGCCGCCCCGGCCGCGACCAGCCAACCCCGTCAGTGCGCCACGATACGAGTTGCCCAGCGGCGCGGGGGCGGCAGCTTCTCTCAGCTGGCCCTGTCCGGCGGGACCAGTAGGGGCACCGTAGGCACCAACAGTCAATGGAGTCGACTGGGTTTGTTGTTGTTGTGCGTCGCCTGCACGAGTCGTGGCGAGGAGCTGTCGGTAGGAGACATTAAGGACGGATGATGCGAGCACGGTCTGGCCGCGGAAAGGGGAGCAGCGGTCTCCCAGTGTCGTGCCGCTCATGAACGAGACGTCGAAGACAACATCCAGCAAGACGGCCCGGGAGGTCCGGGTGAGACCCACAACGGTTCCTCGAGTAGCGATAGGCACCTTGCCCGAATCCTGTGCATAGACTACCCGATCGCCAAGCTTGAATGTTTGATTTTGGAGTCGCTGCTCGACGTCGGATGGCCGCAGAAGGGCGCTTCGAGGGACGCCGCGGATCTTCTTGGGCTGCATCTGCGGTTGACTTCGGACAAGCTGATCAGCATCCTGCTCGATCAACTTGACAACATCGGAATCCAGCTGTTCAGCCTCCAGGGGAACGCGCTCAAAATTTTTGGCTTCGATCGATTTGAGCCAGTCCCGGATCTCTTGCATCTTAAGCAAAGCGACCTCTTCGGGGTAGAAATCGGTGGGCGTGTACCGATCATTTTGAGGATTCCTTTGGATCCCTGCGATGAACTCGGGAAAATTGGTCATATACTGTACCAGCAAGTCGACAGTTTTCTGGCTGAACTCCCATCCCGATTCGCCACGGCGAGAATAACCAAGTACCTTCTGCTTGCGCGCCTCAAATTTAAGGTTCAGACCCAGGTTGACTCGCTGACCCTCAATATCGACGGAGAACGAAGATGTGATCTTAGCCAAAACGAGGGGGTTCAAGCGCAGGCTGCGAGCGATGGCATAAGATGGCATGTAAGGGCAGAGTCGCTCGGCATTTTTGGCACGATCGCGTCCGAACTCGGGGTCCCGACCTTTTACCGCGGCGATCATGCCGCTGACTTTGCCGTCTTCGTGTCCAGTGACATGTACCGGACGTCCGTAGTTGAATTCTCCTAGGAAGAATGCCCGAGAACCCTCAGGGAATTCCTTCTCAATGGGCAGAGCGTCTCTCTCGATGAACCGTTCGTCGGGGTTGATCACATCGTCCACAATTAATTGCAAGGCGTAGTCGGTTTCCTGTCCACTGATCTCGCCGAACTCTTTAACCGTAGCACCTTGATCGGTCTTGATCAAGCCCTTCAGTAGCTGCACGTGTACCATGGACTCAACCGGGCCGATGATAGTACCAAGTCTCTTGCTATACGTTCCTTCAATCTTGTCGGCCTTCTTCTTCCATTGCTCGATCTGAGCTGGGGTGTGAGGAATAGCGACCACGTGCTGCTCGCCATCTGGGAGAAGATAATCAAAAAGCTCATCCGACACACGAATGACAAGCGCTTCTTGCAGGAATGGATAACCAACATGAACCCGCTTTCCGAGCTTCTGTTTGGCTAGCTCCGCACTCGACCTGCTTCCAGGATCAAGCACAGTGATGACCATGCTCTCATTGCGGCTTTCCTGCTGGAACACACAGACTCCATGGAATCCCAGCTGACCCACATGGGGCAGGGTCTTTAGACTAGGGAAACCAGCCAAAGCTGACGCTCCAAGGTGTGCTCCCTCCATCAGGCCGATGTACGGCTCAAGTCCGTCCATGGTAGGCAAATCAAAAACATTTTCGATACAGTGACAATTAGGGATGTCAGGGAAAATGCCAGGAAGAGATGAGGGGTAAGTGAACTGCACGTCCGGCGAGTAGGTGAACTTCAAACTGGCACCAAAACCGTTTCTTGCTTTTTCTTCTGGGGTCAGTAGATGTTCCTTCGTGGCCAAAGCAGCCAACAAGCGCTTTTCGTCGATGAATGGGATCTTCACAACTGCCTCCCACTCCATCTTCTTTCCATTCATGTCCAATTCAAAGTCGCGGGGATAAAAATCAATGATCGGCGAGTCAGGTGAAGTCATCAATTCATGATACGCAGTAGGCACGGTCTTCTTGCTTCGATCAGGCAAGACTCCCATCAGCTGCTCATAAGGCCTAAAAGGCTTGCCAAGTCGGAAGTTCGTGTCGGCCTTCAAACCCTTCTTCACATCTGCACCAAATTAGTGGTCGGTAATCAAGTAGGCACATGTAATACTTACCAGAAATCATCGGGGCATAGTGATATTTGAAGAACCAAGGCCAAGACGCAATGCCTCTGTAATAGTAGTACAGAACCCATTGGAGACCTTGGACGTAGTTCTCAGTCAACTCCTTCATCTCCTCGTGACTATCCAGCCCCCAACTAAATTTGCCAACGTAGTACTGGTTCTTCCATTCTTGGAACTTCTCTTCGTACTTCTTCTCGGCTGCTTCTTGAGCTTCTTCAGCCGACAGCTCCTGGACCTTCGCGTTCTCGTACTTCCGAATAATCCTCTGTACAGCCAAAGTGGCCTCTTCATCATCCTCCTCTTCACTATCGTCATTCTCATTAGCAGGTAGCTGAACACGAATGAAGCGGTCGCCCTGCTCATCAGCGACGGTGGTCCAAGGCAGGTGAAGATCGCTCGCCAGCTGCTCCACAAACTTGCGATCGCGAGCGGGCAGCGTAGAACTGAAGTCAAGAGGCTTCGTCTCCGACGCCTTCCCAGGTCGGTTCAACACGTATTTCTTCACTTCTTTGAGGAGCTCCTTCTGGGCAGGAGTTATCGTGAGTCCTTTCGGCTTCTCAGGTGCCTCGGTGGCGCCAGTCTTCTTTGCTTGAAGCCAGCGTGCATCGGAGAACTCGGCTTCAAAGAAGCGATACTCGACGCTGCTCAAAGCGTCCAAGAGCATGCCTAGCCGCTCCATGTGGATGACGCCTTGTTCATTGATGTAGCCACCCATCTTAGGCAAAATCTCCTTGTAGGTCTTGAACATCAACGCTAAAGCGCCCTCGTTGATATGCAAATTGGGTAAATTGGGCAAGAAATCGTTTCCAACGAAAAATGCCATCAAGATGAAGTCGTCAATGACCCTCTCCATATCGAAAGGAAAGTCCAGAATGCCCTCCTGCTCTAACTCCTGAAACTCCAGTTCCAGATATTCTCTGACCATAGACAGATGCAAAAGATAGAAGTTTTGATGCTCAAGTTCCTTAGGCTTCTTCGAGACCTGGCGGCCAAAAGTGACCTCCTCACGGAGAAGGCAGAAATGAGGGTCGTGACTCAGCAGACCCAACATGATCAGATCGGCATCAAGACCGTAGAGACAGTGGCGAACATTGGGGTTGTAATCAGGCTGTGCTTTCGCATGCCGGATGTATTCCATGATTTTGTGCTCACCCTCACCAGGAGTCTCGTGGCCGGAAAGCACAATGTCAACTCCCTGCCAATCCTTGTCCTCCGAAATCTTCTTGCTGATAAAGTATTTCAATTGTTCAGTCAGTTTCGCCATGAACTCGGTTCCTGGAGTAATGCAATTGCTGTCAAAAGGATCTTCCTTGGGCATCTCGATGCCTTGAGCAATCGCCTTGTCCTTGGCTACCTCAGCGTCCAGGGCTGTGCGGAAACGTCGCGCACGCTGTTGGTTCATCTTGGCACGGGGAGCCACGCCATCAACGGCCATAAAAAATAGCTTCTTCGGCTTAATCTTGCCGTACAAATGCTCGATGTAGTTGAAAATAGCGATGAACATCTTATCTTCGGTCATGCGGAATGTAGGCGAGTCACTGTCCTTGTGGGTACAGTTGTGGATGATACCGTTCATGTCCAGGTACAGATTGTCGAACTCGGGAATCCGATTCTCTGCAATCAGCAGTGAGATGGCGGGATACCGCTCGCTCAGCCAACGGAAGAACTTGGGCACACCCATGGTGAATTATGTAAATAGAATCTAGCGTAAAAGGAGGTGTAGGCTCTAGAGACGAGAATTATCAAGGAGACAAAAATTGCCGTTGAGTCGTAGATCGTCGCAGGAGTGGTGGAAGTGGCGGTGGTCGTCAATAATCAATGAAGCTCCAAGCTCGGAGGCGAATCA